AGTAATGCCAATCTTCTTTTTTAATGGTCTTATAAGTTATGGGTGTTTTAACTTCAACTGGAGTAGCCACTTTCTTATGATGCGTGTCAGTTTGTGTCGAATTTGACTTATTTGTCCCTAGCTGAGAGGTCTTGATGTTGGGTTTATCTTTAGCAGCTAATTTTTCCATCATAAGTGACATCTGATCAATATTTTTACGCAAATCACCTATTTCCTTTATTAATTCATTTTTTGATGTATCATGTACCTGGATTTTAATAGATTCATCATGATTGTCCATGAAAACAGATGACAAATTAAAAATATCTTGTTTCATTTCTCTTATAGATTTGAATAGAGATTCTTGTCCATTGTCCGAGATTTTGGTTTGGTGGCTGTGAATGTCGTCTATTTTTTGGTTCAGTTGCTTCCATACGGAGTCGTGACTACTCAAAATGTCGTAAATTTCTGTAATGACAGGAAGAAGGTCATTGTTTTTTTTTAAACAGGCTCCAAGAGCTTCGACATTTTCCATAGAAATCTGGGAATTATGTAGATGTGTCACTTTATCATGCAGGTATTTCAATTCAAACTAACAATAACTTAAGTAAAAATAGTGCTTGTACATAAGCAGCTATAATTCAAACAGTAAATGAGATAAATATTTTTGGACATTAAACTACCTCTATCTCGAAAACTATTCATAGTTTCGGGTTGTGCCTATGAGAACTTTTCATCAGGAAGTCAAGATATACCACATATCAAAATTTTATGAGCCTCATTTGAGTTCCAAGCAATCTGGTATTGTAGCCTTATGTAATGCCAGGTGTATTACGGGATTAATTGAAACGATCATGTCGATGGTAACTCTGACTATATTGATAAAAATTAATAATCATGTTTGTGTTACAAATATGTTTACACAATTTGTAGGTAATTAACTAGGTTACTATAACTTAACAGTAAGCATTTTACTTTGTTGCACCACATCTTCCCCTTTTCAAATGAATGAAATTCATCTGAATGAATTACGCTTGGCCGGCTGCCTTATTCTGTAACTTGCGACCGCAGAGAATTGCGCAATAGTCGCTGTCAAACGCGAGTTTTCTATTCAAAAAAAGCAACTTGCGACCGGTTGCTAGTTGCTATGTAATTGCTGTTCGTAGAGAATAGGCCTGCCGGCTTTGGAAAAATGTAATACAACCAGGAATGTATATTTTGTTTTGTTATAATCAAAAATAGAACAATATTTAAATAGATACTTATTAAATTTGGAATAAGTATACTAAGATTATATAAGAGTAAATATAATCACTTAAATTTGATAAGAAACAAGAAACTACTGCGGCCTATTTTTTTTTTTTTTAAATTCATAATGTTCTAGAAGATATAAATCTATACAGGGTGTCCCACGGTGGATGGCGTATTAGACGTTTATGGAGAACTAAAAAGCGAATCATTTTGAAAATTTGGCAACCGGGATAAACGACCATGATCTACACTTTAAAAATATTTTTGACCATGAGGTGTTGCCGCTTCTACTCTAAACTAGTGGCAACATCACTATTTTAAATGGAACACCCCGTATTTAATTGCATATTTGGATTCTACGTAAAATTCTGAGCAGATTTCATGTGATATACCCTATACCTAAGTTCAACTGTTTTGGAAATATTGACAGTTGAAAATTGACTTTTTGCAACTTTGACAGGCTGTAAAACCTAATTGGTTAATTTTAGAGGAAAACCGATTTCACATTCCTATCTTAGATTTTGATAAACTATCATTTAACACCAACTTTGAACTTAACCAGAGATTAAATTTAACTGAAATTTTTAATCATGGATTTAATTCTAAGTTGGTGTCAAATGATAGTTTATAAAAATCTAAGATAGGAATGTAAAATCGGTTTTCCTCTAAAATTAACCGTTCAGGTTCTACAGCCTGTCAAAGTTGCAAAAAGTCAATTTTCAACTGTCAATATTTCCAAAACAGTTGAACTTAGGTATAGGGCGAGGTATAGGGTATATCACATGAAATCTGCTTAGAATTTTACGTAGAATCCAAATATGCAATTTAATACGGGGTGTTCCATTTAAAATAGTGATGTTGCCACTAGTTTAGAGTAGAAGCGGCAACACCGCATGGTCAAAAATATTTTTAAAGTGTAGCTCATGGTCGTTTATCCCGGTTGCCAAATTTTCAAAATGATCCGCTTTTTAGTTCTCCATAAACGTCTAATACGCCATCCACCGTGGGACACCCTATACTTAGTATCTTTATCAATGCGCAATGTTAAATTTTTGAAGTCTGTTTTTGTGAACTGTAAGTTCTTTTCCGTTTTCCCTTTACACTGTACTTACTGTATTTAACATCATTAGTACGGTGAAAGGACCTTCAAACCAATAATAATGCTGCAAATTGAGATTTTGAGATTTTAAATCATACCTACTTTTACAGTTTTGTTTTACCTTGATCATAAAATGTCTAGCTCTTTGATGCGAAATTTGCAATCTATGTCGTATCCCTTGATAGTATGCGTCAATGTTGTAACAAGGGTCGATTTTGTTTGTAAGTTCGTTTGGAAGTTCTGATTTTCTGCCAAAAACAAATTCAAATGGAGTGATCCCAATCTGTGAATGCGTCATTGATATATGACCTTAGATATTCATTTAACAGTCTGTGATTTCTCTCACATCCACCAATACTTTCATGATGGTAAGCGGTTGAAAATCTGTGGTTTATATTTAGCATGCTAGACAATTTCTCTAAAACTTCATTCTTATATTCGGTACCCATATCAGTCCTTATTTCTTTCATAGGGCCAATTATTGAAATAAAGTTTTCAAAAATAGATTTTGCCACGGTCAGCGCTCCTTTATTTGGTATTGATTCAATGATAACATATTTGAAAGTCATAATGCAAAAATTTCAGATATTTTGTCCATAAACGTAGAATCATGTCTAAATACAGCTTTAAATGACGTTCTCAATGATAGTGTCATCATGTATCATATGGTAAAGTGATGAATTAAAATTCACCATTTGGAAAAAAAGTCCATCCACAAAAATTGGAAACATACCCATGATGCAGAGATGTATATATAGAGAATTTTGTGATCTGCATACAAAATATGAAATGAAATAAAGAATGCTAAAATTATTTTATAGGTGATATGGAAAACAGTATATAGTTGATAATTCTAGGATGTTTTGGAAATTTGTACACACAAGATCTAAAATTTATGATTTACCAAACTCTATGTCATTTAATTATAAAACCACTGATTTTCCACCTACCATTGCCCAATATTTTGCAGAACACTTTAGTTCGGTATATAGATTTGTAGAGTGTGAAAACGTTGTTGATATTTGTCGCTGTGATATAGCTTTAATTGATGTTTTTAATTGTATTTTAAATTTGAAACCTATATTGGCTCCGGGACTTGGGCCTGGGATTCGATAGTATCGTCTATCGTCAAGCCTAATAAACTCGTGCAAAAGTACGTAGGTACTTGACGATAAACGATACCATACATTATATTGTTGATTTTAACGAAATTGAAATAGGCGAACTACTCCGATGTATGCCGTTGTAGTCGTATGTATGTATTCATATGTATTTTTATGTATTCTTTAATTTTTATGTATTCCTTTGTATTCTTTTGTATTTTCTATACTCCACGTATTCAGTGTACAAATTTGACTGGCGGTTTACCCCTCGGAAAATTCTAGAAAATCCCAAAACTTCTATTAGCTTGTACAGGGTGTCAAGTTATAAAGTACCACCACCTGAATCGATGAACGCTGGGAGAAAAAAAATTATTACAAGCACATCATATAAACAAATTTTTCCATTGAAATATGAAAAACTTTGATAATAATACTTATATTATTTATTAATTATTTTCTGATATTTTGTGCGCAAACATTTGTCTGATTAATAATATGTATTTTGTAATGTTGACTTTTATTGGTCAACAGAGACAATTTTTAATATCAAATCGACAACGTCCATCTCCCACGTCATTGATGTGTGTAAACGTAAAACTAATCCTGGAATAATTCTCGTGTACTAAAGATATCAACATAATCACTACAGAAACATATCTATAAATGAACTCGTATCATTAGCGTACAAAGTGATAAAAAGATTTTCTTTATTTTAACGTTATAAGTAGCGATAATATGCATATCAAAATTTTCAAATATGAAATTTGAATTGTTATCTCATAATATTTTCAATTAAGTAGTAGTAGGCGTGTAATTTTGTTGGATGTTATTAATCTTTAATGATATGACATCTGAAACTAAATATAATGAGAAGGTGAGCAATTATTTTTTAAATAAATGTAATTTTTTATATTTTGCCTTGAGGATTGGATTGCTTGTAGCATTTTATGTTTAATGTGGCTAAATCTTTTTCAGGTTCAATTTTCCAAAGATTCTAGTTACCTTGATTGAATTTTTTCTCGAGTTTTTTATACCATTTGTGTCCCAATTTTCTAACATTTGTAAATATCTGTCATCAGTAAAGTTTTGCTATAATTTTCATGATTAAACTTTATAAATCCAATGAAAACTTTTGATTTCTTGAAGGAGCATCCTATTAAAACATTTTCTCAAAAAAAAAAAAAAACACCTACCAGTTGGTTCTAAGTAAGTCTATCACCAGTTGCTTGTTTTTCATTTTTTGTTTAAAAACAAAGCTATTTTATATTTTTCACATATTTCGTATTGGACTACACAATCTTTACGCAATTTATTTTTTGACGTTCAACATACTAACATCCTTACCGCTGTTTTGAAACCTATTTTTAACTCACAAGTTATGTAAACCCAAGCGAATTCTCTTCACAAATTGTTTTGCTCAAACAAAAATCCGTGCAAGCTATGGCCCCAAATTCTAATAGTGTCACTATTGTAGAGGTCAGTTTTAAATAACAAAAAAAAAGGTAGTCGTGTTTTTGCATTGTAAATTACATTGTAGTTGATGTTTTTTAAATATTTAATTGTTTTAGGGCGGCGGTTATTTGAAACGAGCCAACGCGCCGCAGCTGCAAGAAATATTCAACAAGTACGCCTCCATCGAAAAGAATGGCGAAAAATACATGAGCGCCGACGATTTCGTTATTAAATATTTGAGAATATTGAACGACAAAGATCACAATGCTGATACAGTACGATTGCTAGCCGGAATCGTCGATACCAGTAAAGATGGGCTTATATCTTATCCAGAATTCCAGGCTTTTGAAGGGCTGTTGTGCTTTCCTGATGCTCTTTATAAAACAGCTTTCCAGCTTTTTGATACTAATGGAAATGGAATGGTCGCATTTCGTAAGTGAATTTTGGGGTTTTATAATGTAACACGGGAGTTAATTTTGTGTCTGGAAACGTCAATTTCATTCTCGATTTCATCATTATACCTACACTTCAATAGAGGTTTTTATATCATCTTGCGCGAGGGGTGGTTAACTTCTTAAAATATGTACACAGATTTTAAATTTTCATTAATTTTGTAGGATTTCGAGAATTTTGAAAATCTTTACACAATTTTACAGAAGATTTTAAATTTTCAAAATTTTAGGCGATTCTGGAGCATTTTAGGAGTTTTTGAAAAGTTTTTAGAGATTCTAAATTCAAATGACAAATCCGAGGACAAATTTGAATGGAAAAACGGAAATTCCTAGACATTTCACTATTGGATTTCATAATACTTTTCCGAATTTCATCATTATGATGCTATGGAATTCCACCATAAAATTCAGTGGATTTCTTGGACAAAAATTCCACGGAATTACCCTACTTATGAGATTTCATGTAAATGTAGATTCCACTAAAATTTCAAGTTATTCCATGGAAATTCTGTGAAAATTTTTGTTAATTCCATAGAAATTCCTTAGAAGATTTTATGGAATTCCTCGAAATTCCATTCAAATGTCAAATTTGAATAGAAAAACAGAAAATCCTAGAAATTTTACCATAAGATTTCATAATACTTTTCCGAATTTTACCCTAAGATTCCATGGAAATCCACCATAAAATTCAATGGAATTCTTGTACAAACATTCCTCAGAATTACAGTAAAAGATTTCATGAAATTTCTCGGTTCCACTAAAATTTTATGTAATTCGACAGAAATTACTCAAAATTTCAGTAAAATTTAATTCAATTCTTCGGAATTCCGCCGAAATTTCTCGTGGTTACATGGAAATTCCACAGAAATTCTGTTTAATTCCAAGGGAATTCTTGGGATTCCATGTAATTTCACTGGAATTCCACAATAAGATTTCAAGGAATTCCATGTATGTAGTTCGACGAGAATTCCTTGGAATTTTACTCGACATTTCATCGAAATTTCAAGTCGACACAAAGTGAAATTATATATAATTTGATAGAAATTCTACGAATATTTCATAATTTTTTTTTCTAAATCCCACTGAAATTCTCCAAAATTCTATAGAAATCCCAAATTCCCTATTTTTTTTTGAAACTTCACTGAAATTCCTCAAAACCACTGAAATATCCTGCAATTCCACAAAATTTTCATAAAATTTTTCGGAATTTCACTGATATTTCTTGTAATTTCTTAGAAATTACTCGAAATTTCACTAATATTTGATGAGAATTTTTTGAAATTTCACTGAAATTCCACGTTATTAGTCGAAAATTTCTCGAAATTCCAATGAAACTTTTCAAAATTTCATTTATATCCATAAGAATTTCACTGAAATTCTCTTTCAATAGTCAGGAATTTCTGGGAATATTAATGAAACTTCGAGTAATTTCTTGAAAATTCACCAAAATTCCTCTGAAATATAGAAATTTTTCCAAATTTCACCGAAATTCCAAGTTTTTAGCCGGAAATTCCTCGGAATTCCACTTGTGAAATTTTCTACAATTTTACTAAAATTCAGTAATTCGATGGGAATTTTTCGGAATATCAATTTCACTAAAATACCATGTTTTTAACTGGGAATTTCTTGGAATAAAAATAAAACTTCATGTAATTGCATTCGGATTTTACGGAATTCCACTGGAATTCCTTATGAAACGATAAGAGTTGTTCAAAATTCCACTTAAATTTCATGTAATTTCCTGACAATTCCTTGGAATTCCAATTGCATGGAATTCCTCCATATAATTCGACGAAAATTCCTCGGAAATCATGATATTTTTTGAAACTTTTTTAAAATTCTTTTGGTATGTAATTTAACGAGCACTGAAATTTCATGTTGGGAATTTTAATGTAATTCCATGTAATATGTAATTGTTTAAAATTCCTCCATGCAACTCAGGATTTCATGTAAATCGATCGACATTCGACTGAAATTTAATGTAATTTCTCGAAATTTCATGAAATTCCAGAGGAACTAAAATTTAATGTGAATTCTATGGAACTCCGCAAAAATGTCACATTTCACACCATAAAATTCAATGGAATTCTTGGATTTTTTTTTTTGAAATTACAACATAAGATTTTATGAAATTCCTCGGAATTCCACTAAAATTTCAAGTTATTCCATGGGAATTCCGCGAAAATTTTAATCGATTCCATAGAAATTCCTTAGAATTTCACCAAAAGATTTTATGGAATTCCTCGATATTCCATTCAAGTGATAAATTTGAATGGATAAACGTAAATTCCTAGAAATTTTATTATAAGATTTCATATTACTTTTCCGAATTTCATCATAAGATTGTATCGAGGTTTGTATGGAATTCCACCATAAAATTTAATGGAATTTTAGCACAAAACTTCCTCGAAATTACACTATGAGATTTCATGAAAATCTTCGGAATTCCAATAAAATTTCAAGTTATTCCATGGGAATGCTGTGAAAATTTTAGTTAATTTCATAGAAATTCCTTAGAAATTTCAGCAGAAGATTTTATGGAATTCCTCGAAATTCCATTCAAATGGTAAATTTGAATGGAAAAACGGAAATTCCTAAAAATTTTACTATAAGATTTCATAATATTTTTCCAAATTTCACCATAAGATTTCATGGAACTCCACAATAAAATTCAATGGAATTCTTGAAAAAAAAATCCTCGGAATTACTATATGAAATTTAATGACATTCCTAAAATTTCAAGTTATTCCATTGGAATTCCGCGAAAATTTTAAGTAATTCCATACAAATTCCTTAATATTTCTTCACCAGAAGATTTTATGGAATTCTTAGACAATTTTTTTTCAGAATTACAGTATAGGATTTCATGAAATTCCTCAGAATTCCACTAAAATTTCGATTTCAAAATTCCATAAGAATTCCATGTTTTTTTTTTTTAACTTTACTGAAATTCCCCAAACTTTCACCACTGAAATATCCTGGAATTCAACAAAATTTTCATAAAATTCTTCGGAATATCATTGACATTTCATCTAATTTCTTAAACATTCCTCGGAATTCACTAAAATTTTATGAGAATATTTTGAAATTCCACGTTCATAGCCGAAGATTTCTCGAAAATCCAATGAAACTTCAAAGAATTTTTCAAAATTCCATTTATTTTCATAAGAATTTTTCGGAATTTCACTGAAATTCTCTTCTAATAGCCAGGAATTTCTGGGAATATTGATGAAAATTCACCCTAATATATTGAAATTTCATGTCATTACATGGGAATTTTTCGGAATATCACTGAAATTCCATGTTTTCAGCCGGAAATTCCTCAGAATCCCTGGAATTTTACTAAAATTCAGTAAGAACTGAAATTTCATGTTGGGAATTTCGGTGTAATTTCATATAATTGTTTAGAATTTCTCCATGTAATTCATTTAGGATTTCGTGTAATTCGATTGGAATTTCACTGAAATTTCATCTAGGTTATTCGAGAGGAACTAAAATTTTTAATGCGAATTTTATGGAAACTCCGCAAAAATTTCACATGTAATTCCTTTTTAAGAATAACATAATTCTACCAAAATTCCACTAAATTATGGAATTCTGCGAGACTTTAACAAATTTTTGGGGATTCCAAAGGATTTTTGGGAATTTCAAAGGAAATATTTTTTAGGAATTTTAATGATTTTATGAGATTCTGCTGGATTTTTTTGGTTTTAATGAAATTTTTAAGGATTTTAAAGATTTTTAGGGATTTTGAGTAGATCTTATGAAATTTTCTGGGATTTTGACCAGCTTGTACACGGATTTTGACCAGTTAACCACCCCTCGACCTTGCGCATTTATTTCCAGTGCTTTAAGTTTTCACATTACTTAATTTTTGTTTTATAGTTTGTTTTCAATTTTTAAGGAAATTTTTAAAATTTTACATGAATCAGATGTTTAGTAGGTCCAGAATCCAACGATAAACGTTTTGCTGGATGTTGAAACATGGTTATTTGGTTTTAAAAGTTCTGAATTCATTAAACAAAACATGTATCTCTCTCATTATGGTGCATCTGCATTGTTACCTTTTCTAACCTCTGGCTCTTCTGTAAAAAAAATTACCTCAGTAATCATAATAATTATTTTCCGAAAACCTCTTGAATCGTGATCATTCTACAATATGTGGGTCGATTTAAAATAATTGTACTTCATAAAACCCTAATTTCAGAGGAGTTTGTGGAGGTGATGAAAAAAACCGAACTCCACCAACGCATCCCTTTCAACATGGAATCCCCATTCATTCAACTCTACTTTGGTAAAAACAAGTCACGCCTGGTGAGCTACAACGAGTTCAGTCAGTTCTTGCACGATTTCCACGAGGAGTACGCCATTGAAGGTTTCAGGCGAGCTGACAAAGACGGTTCTGGATTTATTTCAGTTTTGGATTTTCAGGATATCATGATCAGTATCAAGAGTCATTTGCTCACCAAAGAAGTACAATCGCACCTGATTGAGGTCCGTATTTAACTACTCATGATGAATAAATATTAAAATTGATAATTATTATAGGCAGTACAAGGAGAAACTCAAAGCCGCAAAGTGAGTTTTCCATACTTTATAGCCTTTAACTCTCTTCTAAACAATATGGAGTTAGTGAAACGTATTTATTTAAACGTAACCAATGGACATCGTAACCAAGAAGTTAGCAAAGACGAATTTATGCATTCTGCACAAGCCATGTCCCAAATGACACCCTTAGAAGTCGACATTCTTTTTCACCTTGTGGATGTTTTGCATCAAACAGGGTAGGTTGAAACGTATGCGCGTGCAATCACCGCTTGATTTTGGATTATTTGTTGCACGTGGTTTTTGAAATGTGGGTGTTAACATTGCTTGCTTATGCACTAATCCTTTCCTTAACCATTCTAGGATAAGTTAAATGTTCGCAAACTTATGCTAAACGAAAAATGTTTTCTTTGTGTATGCTGCTGGATTTTTGGTTTATAATAGAAATTTGCACAGGGAAGCTAGTCGAGTTTGGGAATGGTTTGTGGTAAAATTTACTGGTGTTTTAATTTGTTTAATGTAAATTGTGTTTTTTTAGGCGTATCGTTTACAATGACCTCTATGCGATCGCACCTGAACAGTATTTTAAACAAATCACTAATCGATTGGCGGAAATTCATGCAGTTTCGGTAAGTTTGTTTAATTTCAATCCTCAAAACATTAACTTTAATATTTCTTTAGAGTCCAGAAGATAGAGGTGTAGTGATCCAAATACTGGAAAGTAGCTATCGTTTCACTTTAGGTTCAATAGCTGGAGGTAAGTTTCAGTGTTTGTAGGTATATTAAAAATTAACTATAACAAATCATTATTTTAGCTGTGGGAGCAACAGCGGTCTACCCAATCGATTTGGTTAAAACACGTATGCAAAACCAAAGAACTGGCTCCTTTATCGGTGAATTGATGTACAGAAACAGCATGGATTGCTTCAAAAAAGTCATAAGGCACGAAGGAGTATTTGGTTTATATAGAGGCCTGGTACCACAATTGCTCGGAGTAGCCCCGGAAAAAGCCATCAAGCTAACAGTAAACGATTTTGTTAGGGATAAATTCACAGACAAAAACGGCCGTATTCCACTCTACGGGGAAATATTATCGGGCGCTTGCGCCGGAGGTTCTCAAGTCATATTCACCAACCCTTTGGAAATAGTAAAAATCCGTCTACAAGTGGCAGGAGAAATTGCTGGAGGCGCGAAAGTCCGGGCGTGGGCAGTAGTCAAAGAACTGGGACTGTTTGGTTTATACAAAGGAGCGCGTGCTTGTCTGCTCAGAGATGTACCTTTCAGTGCTATTTATTTCCCAGCTTATGCTCATACAAAAGCCAGTATGGCCGATGAAAGTGGCTATAATCATCCGTTGACTTTATTGGCTGCCGGTGCTATTGCCGGTATTCCAGCAGCGTCGTTGGTTACACCTGCTGACGTCATCAAAACTCGGTTGCAAGTGGTGGCTAGAGCAGGTCAGACCACTTATAGTGGAGTCTTGGATGCTACAAGGAAGATTTATAAAGAGGAAGGGTTTAGGGCTTTTTGGAAGGGATCTATTGGTGAGTGTTTCAAATTATAAGTAGTTATTTTTATAAATTATTGCTTTTTTTTTAGCTCGTGTATTCAGATCTTCACCGCAATTTGGTGTGACATTGTTTACTTATGAGCTTTTGCAACGGACTTTGTATGTAGATTTTGGAGGAAGGTAAGTGTACATTAACCAGGAGAGTTATTTCGATGTGTAGGTACTAGCGAAGAATAGTATAGTTAAGATCTGAATGGCAGGATTTATTGTAGCATTGTTGCCAGATTTTATTCAGGTTTCATGTAATTTCCCATAATTCCTCAGATTTTTCCAAATTTCCCTAGACGTCTACCTGTATTTGTGTGTCATTCCATTCAAGATTGTGTCATTCTGTGATTGTGTCATTAATTATTTGTCGAGTTAATCCTATGCTTAATTTGTCGATTAAAGCCTTATATCTGGGGTATTTGCATTACTACAATTTAATAGACATTATGAAAAAGCTTCTGAGATCTGAGGCTCGATTCTCGTCTCAGGGAGTAGAGCTTCCCGATAGAAGGAATGTTTTGCCCTTTTTAACGTAATCGGAAAGTAAACGAGAATGATAAAGACGAAAAATTTGTTCGCTTGGGGAGCTCTACTCCCTGAGACGAGAATCGCCCCCCTAAAAGGTTTGATACTGATCCCAGCTCATCAAATGCAGTGAAGGAATGGTGTCACTGGAAAACTTCCAGAACTTCATATCGTCAGTAAAGGATTTAGAGGAATCACAAAAGCTGCGCTTGCTCACAAACTGTCAGTCACAACGTGTTCGAATACGTTTCTGGAGCAAAAGCCTGCACTGATGCTGTGGGTATCTGATAACATCTATATAAAACCTCAAAATAAAGCATTTGAAAGACATATTCTTTTCTACGAGGAAACAGCAATATGGATAAAACATGAGCCAGTACATTCAAATTTTGAATCAGCTCAGCAAAGATTGTAACTTCCAAAACGTTACTGCCAAAGAACATCGCGAACTTTCCATTAGAGATGCTTTTATTACCGGATTATTATCAAATGAAATTCGTCAAAATTGATCTAACTTTAGATGAAGCAACATCACAAGCTTCATCTCTTGAATCTGCTCAAAAACATTCTGACGTCTACCTAACAGCTTCAACAAGTTTCATCAATTCTAGTAACGCGCATTAAACAAAGATACACTCTTTTGAGTGCTACCGGAAAAGATGATGGAAACCTGTACCAGTTTAATCGTATCCCTTTTGGTGTGACTAATTGCGTAGCTAGTTTTCAAAGTGTCATATACAATAATCAGGCAAGAGAATCTAGAAGGCGTCTACGCATATCTCGATGATACTTATGGAAAAAGTCAAGAAGAACACGATAAGAATCTATCAACTTCACTGACAGCTGTTAAAAAGTACAACCTAACTATAAATGATAGTGAAAGTTCGTTCAAGAATTGTTAGTCCCAGAAACTTTCTTATGCAAGAGCCTGCTATCACCGATTTGCAACAAATCGTTATCTATTAACAATTGTAGTTGAATTCTCAAGATTCCCTTTTGCTTACGCCTGCCCTGATATGACTGTAGGGACTGTGATTAAATGTTTCACAAATCTATTTTCAATATTTGGAATGCCCTCGTACATACATTCTGATCGAGCAAGCTCTTTCATGTCAAAAGAACTGAAAGAATATCTTCATTCAATAGATATAGCCACTAGCAGAACGACTGCTTATAATCCGGAAAGCAATGATCAAGTAGAAAGATTTAATGGTACAATATGAAAAACAATTTTGCTCGCACTGAAGTCTCGTGGTCTGATAACAGGACAATCGGAGAATGCATTTCATTCTATCCAATCTCTCTTATGTGCTGCAACAAATCGAACACCTCATAAACGTATGTTTAAACATTCTCGTAAATCTAGCAACGGACAAGCTATTCCCTCCTGGGTTTCAAGTCCTGGCCGTGTTTGGATGAAAAAGAATGCTAGGAAAAGTAAATACGACCCGTTTGTGGAGGAGGTGTACTTGCTGGAAGCAAACCCAGATTATGTGTTTGTTCGTTTTCCCGATGGCAGAGAAGGTACTGTCAGTCTAAGACATCTAGCACTACGTGGAAGTGCACCTGAATTTGATGACGATGGTGAAAATCCCTTTCAATCTCATAACGAATCAGAACAAGAAAGTAACTCCTATAAACAAGATGCATAAACACCTGATAATCAGAATGATGATCCGGAAGAAAATCCACACAATGATGATCCGGAACAAAATCCACACTTGGATACATCTGGAGATGAATTCATTTTAGTCCGACCTAGAAGAAACCGTCAGTCTCCAAAGTCCTTGATAGATTATGTTTCAAAATAAGCCTGAGGAGAATGTGGTGATACACCTTTATGCTTTAGTACCATGTCTACCTGTATTTGTGTGTCAATGGCTACGTTCACCAGAACCAAAACGGATTGTAAACAGTTTACAAATACCAACAGAATATGTTGGGTAAACTCTTGGTTCTGCTGAACGATTCAAGTTTTCAATGATAGAACGTCACCTTCTGAATGACAGGTTACCACACAAAACACAGTGTTGAAAATTATAAACTCTTTGAAATCATGCTTGCAAAAAGGGCGACCATTTGCAAATAAGTTTGGTTTTAACACAAATTCAATGCAGCGTTCAGCAGAACAATCGCAAACCGTTTACCAACGTTTGTATCTGGTGAACACGGCCATGGGGTATTTGCATTACTACACGCATCAACACAGTTTCTCTCCATTTGACGTTTGTTAGATATCCACAAACTTTCTCAATATACACAATTCCTATGCTTTTTTTTCTGCACTTCTTTTTGGTAAAAACTTTTCAGTTGGTTTTCCCCTTGGAGTTTCCTTATAGATGAGCCAAGAAATTTGGGAAGTAATACCCAGGAGTTGAATATTCTAGGGTCATAGAAGAACTAGAAAGTTTCCAAAGTAATAACTTAGAAATCAGGATTTTGAGACCACCTTAAATGCTTCTACTGAAAATAAAAAACATTGCAAAATAATGTTTCACCAACTACAAGTCCCTAGAAGCTGGTAGGACTTGAAGATTCTAAGAATATTTTCCCAGGATATTCAGAAAATTGGCAATATAAGGAATCAGCATTCAAAATCTCAAAATACCTGCAGTCTTTTAAGAAAACTAGAAACATTTGTGAAATGATATCCAGGATTTGAAGATTCTAGAGAATGTTCATAGAGGAAGTAAAAAGTTTGAAAATAAATAATAAGAAAAAATTGCTACAAAATGACTCACGATCTGAAGGTCTCTGGAAGCTGACAGGATTTAGAGGTTCTGAGAATCTTTTCCCAGAAGGTTCAGAAAATTGACAATATATGGAATCAGCATTCAGAATCTCAAAATCCCAACAGCCTTTTAAGAGAACCAGGAACATTTGTAAAGTAATAAGTCAGGGAATAATGATTCATGAAGAAATTGAACAGTTTGCAAACCGATGACTCAGAATCTTGAGACTTTTCTAAAAGGAAAAATTGCAACAAAATAACACCCAATCTAAAGGTCTCAGGAAGATGATGATAGGATTTGCAGATTCTAAGAATCTTTTTCAAGAAGGTTCAGAAAATTGTCGATATAAGAAATCAGCATCCACAATCTCAAAATCCCAACAGCCTCTTAAGAGAACCAGAAACATTTATAAAGTAATAACTAAGAATTCAATGATTCAAAGGTCTGTGCATAGAAGAACTAAAAAAATTGCATGACTGAGGACTAAGGATCTTTTAGACTTTCTAAATGAAAAAAATTGCCCCAAAATGACTCAGAATCTAAAGGCATAAAAAGCTGCTGGGATTTGAAGGTTCTAAGAATCTTTTTCCAGAAGAATCAGGAAATTGGTAAACTAATAAGAATAAGACTGCATTTATAACTTCAAAATCTCAACACTCTTCTCAGTGAAGAACGAAAAAATTCAATAACTCATGATTTGAAGATTTTAGGGTCTGTTCATAGAAAAACCAAAAAATGTTGTGAATTAATGACGCAAATCCCAGAATCCTGAGATTTTCTAAACTTCTCCTAGAAGAAAAAATTGCAAGAATTGCTAAGAATTTCCTGCAAGAAGAATCAGGAAATGGGCAAGGTAATGATTTAGCATTTAGATTCTGAAAATCCCAACAGTCTTTCAAGAGAACCGAAAACATAAAAGTAATAACCAATCAATCAATCATATATTTCAAGTAATTTATACAGAGTATTATTCCTCAAGTTACAACAGATAAAATTAACTACACCAATCACAGAATCTTTAAAATATAAGATATTACCTACTTAATAGTACAAAAAATACATGAAAATTAAAAATATTTAAAAATATGACAGCATTTTTTATACACAACAATTAACAAGCTGGAGTGCATCACAGCTAAGGAACTCTTCGTATGAGTAGAAGTTGTTATTAATCAGTAAGCGCTTCACCGCTGAGCCATAACCCGGCTTGGGGAGATATTTTATACGGGCAGGTAATTTATTATAGAACAATGGTGCAAAATAGCTCAATAAAAATCGACTTCTTTGAAGTCTGAGGAAGTCCATTCTTATGTCACCTGCCTGCCTTGTATTATAGTTGTGGCAATCGCCATTTAGGTTATAATGGTTCTGGTTTTTATGTGCATACTTAATACATTCAAAGATGTATGTCGATGGTATAGTAAGTATGCTCAAGTCGATAAAAGTCTGCCTGATATCCTCCTTGTACCCCTTGCTTGCAACAATCCTAACAGCTTTGCGTCGCAAGGCGAAGTTTACCAACGACCTGGACAATAAGGGAATAAACGTAAATGGAGAAAAACTGAACCATTTGCGTTCCACTGACAATATCGTACTGATCTCAGACCTACGACGGCGCTGAGCTGCCATCGTAAAGCTTTTATCTGTAAATTTGTATCTGTAAATTTACGTTTGTATTTGTAAATTTACAGTTGTATCTGTAACTTTACACTGTTTGAACAGACATTACCTAACTTAAGACCGTCACACACGGTTTCGCATAACACATAGGCATGAGCTCCCCAATCACAGGTTATATTGAAGGTCACCTGATTTTCATTCGACAGTCAGGTGACCGTTAATACAACCTGTGATTGGTTGGAGCTTATGGTTATGCGTGGGTAATTTCTCTGTTTAATCTTAATCCAGGTATTACCAAACTTAGCGATAATAACCCGGTTAGTTTGGGTTAGTTTGCAATTTTTATCAGACATTTCCAAACTCACCAATAATAACCCGGTTAGTTTGGGTTACTTTGTAATTTGAATCAGACATCACTAAACTTACCGATAATAACCCAGTTAGTTAGCGGTTTTTAGAAGACATTGCCGAACTTGCAAACTAATCTCAACTAACCAGGTTATTGTCGGTAAATCTGGTAATGTCTGATTAAAATTGCAGTGTAAATTTACAGACAGAAGTGTAAATTTACAGATGGGAGTGTAAATTATGTAATAAAAAAAAAGTTAGCTTTACGATGGCAGCTCAGCGCCGTCGTACAGACCGGCTAGATGAAGCAAATGAAATGCTCACGAAACTGTCATCAGATTCCCAAAAACAATGGATTAAAAATTAACATCGCCAAAACCCAATTTATGAAAAATCTGGTCCCTAGCTGTAATCTCAAAATAGAAGAAAAAGAAATCCAACACGTAATATCGTATAGATATCTAGGACATGGAATTCGAATAGGCAGAGATAACCAAACCTGTGAGCCTAGCCGAAGAATAGGACTAATATTGGCAGCCTTCGGTCGGTTGAAACATGTACTTAAATCAGACATCAGTGTGCCTCAAGCGTAAAGTTTTTGACAATTGCATCCTCCCAGTACTGATATACGGCTCAGAAACATTAATATTGACACAAAAAACGATCAACGAAATAAAGAGTTACCCTGTGATGCTGTGTTGAGAAAATAATACACCTAAAGTGGAACGGGGCAGGCCACGTCGCCAGAAAGACAGATGATAGGTGGACGATAAAGATATCGGAGTGACGACCTAGAGATGCTGCACACAGAAGCCGGGGTAGACCGCCAACTCGATGGATAGATGATATCAAAAGGATATCTACAAATTGGATCCAAGATGCCCAAGACCGAGCAAGATGGATTAGGTTAGGAGAGGCCTATGTCTAGCAGTGGACGAGACAAGGCTGATTTATGATGATGATAATGGATGACTTAGCATTAGGGTTCTCAAAATCTCAACAGCGTTTCAAGAGAACCAGAAACATTTCTCAAGTCATAACTCGTGGAATACCTAATGATTTTATGACTCAAAACAGGATTTCAGGATTTTTGAGACTTTCTAAAGTTATCCTAAATGAAAAAATTGCCACAAAATGGCCCAGAATCTGTCAGAGTCACTCACCTCACGAAAGGCAAAGCTCCCTTGGACCCCCAAACCTGCAAGTGATTCGAGATGACTCTCATGAACGGCAAGGAGCGAAGACAGCACTCTTTCAGCCACACCTGTAAAAAACTAATTTAAATTCTGCGCCCTAAGCTCGCGCACACTTGGTGTCGGTATCTTTCCACGATAGGAATTTATTACTTTCCATGATGATGCAATCATATTATTTGAGCAGGCAATATAGTTGCTGTGCGCATGTTTTTTTGAGATATCGAGTTGTTTGTAATGTTTTCTAAAATCTTTCATTTCATTATTAAGATATGGCGAAGGAATCCAAGTGTTTCCCTCATACGCCTACAGTTTTCATCAACCTCTTCTATCTTATTCTGGCTTTCTCTTTTCCTTATTACTGGGAATGACGATTTTATTACCGTTTGCAAAGTATTAACGAAGACATTGCATGTCTCCTCTACATCCCCCACCCGAGAGGTAATTGCATCCCAGCTTTGCCCTTCTATCCCATTGAATAGTTGTTTAATTCAAGCCTGTTCTAGTTATTGGTCTAGATTCTGTGTATTTCGATTTTTGATCCAGATTCGTAACTTGCATTTCAATATCAGTTGCACAGGAATTGGACAACAGAGGATTGAAAACATTAGTACTAAAATGAAAGGATCTTGAAAAATATTATGAAAATATTGTCTATGCAGTTTACACCATTTGATCTTTGAAATGGCTGCCTCTCCAGGATATTACTCCCCAGTGAGTCAATCAACTCTAGCTTGCGCTGACTATTGCCCTTGAAAAGAACATTGAAGTCGCCATTCAAGACAATGTTAAAATTCTTACACATAATTACATCTAGTACACATGAGACACGCTCTAGAAACACCTTAAAATTTGTGTCCGAAGATCTATATACAGTTGAAACAATACAATTAAGAGTTGATGACAGCTCAAAACCGAAATCTACTGTTAATTTATTCAGCTCCTCCGTACCAATACAATTCAGCATTGGTCTTGCCAAAATAATTGTTCTCCCATGCCGAGAACTGGTTCTGGCATAGAAGAAAATTAACTTAAAGTAATTTATTTTCATTACTGCAATCTCGTCCTTGTCTAGGTGGTGTTCTGTAAAGCGAAGAATATTGTAGTCCTTTGTCTGTGGATCCGTTAAGAAAGCTTCAACCTCTTCTATCTTATTTTTAATCGATCTGACATTCAATTGCAATATTTTTATGTTAAAATTGCTGGCTTCGCTATCCAGTTCTAGGGTTTCTTTGGAGTCTGGTGTCTGTGTTAGGTTCTGCAAGTTCAGAAAATGGTTTATTATTATGCCTTTAGGCCAAATTCCTGCGGGCATTTATTCATCCATTGTTTCGAGAGGCATGCCAATCTTGAAGGAGCTACGTGTTTTTTTGTATCGAGGGTCTTCATCTTCTCACAGACAACGTCGCATTCAGAACCTCGAAATTCCTACAGCCTCCTCAGAGGAGAACCAAAAAATGTGCAAAATAATAACTCAGGATTCAAAGATTCTAGGGTCTGCTCATAGAAGAACTAAAAAATTTTGCAAATTAATGCCAACCCAGAATCTTAATACTTTTTTTTGTAAAAGAAAAAATTGCATCAAAATGACTCACAATCTAAAGGCCCCAAGAAGCTGAGAGGATTTGGAAATTCGAAAATATTTCTGCAAGAAGAATCCAGGAAATTGGCATAGTAATGATTCAGCATAGATTTCAGATTCTCTAAACCTCAACAGCCTTTCAAGAGAATCAGAAACATTTGTAAAGTAATAACTCAGGATTTAATAATTCTATGGTCTGTTCATGAAGAAACTAAAAAGTTTGCAAATCAATAACTCAGAATCTTGGGACTTTCTAAAGTTTTCCTAAAAAAAAGAATTGCAATGTTCACCATTTAAAGGTTCCAAGAAGCTGACAAAAATTTGAAAGTTCTAAGAATTTTCAGTAAGAAGAATCAAAAAATATGAAATTGGCAAAGTAATGATTCAGATTTAGAATCTCAAGATCCCAACAGTTTTTCTACAGAAAAATCAGGAAATTTGCAAAATAATAACTATAGATTTTAAAGCAAAACAAGAAATCTTCACAATCTCAGACAAAAACGTAGTTTTTTTGACTGGGGATCTAAAAGCTAAAAATCCTAAATATTTTTTTGAAAAGGACAGGAGGGATTCTTTGACAAGAAACCACCTCCTAGAAAATTGCCTCTTTTATATGTATTTGATAAATATTTATCGTACTTCCTTAATTTCTCTCCAACTTTTTCTAGTACCTTTTACTAAAAATTTTTGCTATCTTAGCAATTTTTCTTGATAATATGTTGTTTATAAATTAGTAAAAATATACTTTCCTTTTTTTCTTGTAGCCGACCTTCTGGATCCGAACTAAAAGTACCATCCTTAGGAGGCGACAAAGCCATTACCAACGTAGACCATTTGGGTGGCTACTCAGTGTCAGTACCAATTTTCTCAGGCATAGAATCGAAATTCGGCTTGTGTTTACCGAAATTTAGCCTACCAAAAGCGTAAACCGCCCCCCAACAAAGGATCAAATAAAATAGTGAATTATTCTAGTTTTTAAATAAATATTGCTTATTTGAATGAGGAAAACAATAATTATTGGGTTGCAGGAAGAGATTGATTTAAAAAATATTATATTGAAAATAATCTTTTTTGTGAATCAAGAATTTACTATAATAGACACTGTGATATGATGATGTATTTTTTAAATGAACAGCATTTTTTTTTTTGCTCTTTTTATTCTAATTTTACATTACTTATTCCTTCATTGTTACAAATCCCTTTATTGTTAAAAAATATACTTTATTATTTTATGAAATTTTGTTTTTGCCTTTTTCCAACATCAACAATTGCATGTTTTGAATGAAAATTTTTCTTGTTTTTTGATATTCATAGATTGTTCCTCTCAATTAGGATGCTTTTACAATCACGTAGCATCATTATTATAAAAAAAACAATAATTCAAGGCTAGCCTTCAAGCAACCAAAAGATAAAGATTATTTCTGGTATAAAAGTGGCAAGAAAATTTTCATTCCGAGCTTGAATTATTACGCAAGAGGTACCACTTAAAGCGTACACCGAAGGAAATCGAAAGTGGCAAAGAACTGATAACACCGACAAAACAATTTCTTGCAAGTAGTTCACGAGACACCTTCGTTCGGTCCACTGTGCAAATTTTCTTATAATAATGTGGCGGAATCGTTAATAACTTCAAAAAAATGATTATTAATTTAATTTTGGTTTTGATAAGTTTGGTGCAACAAATTCAAGCCGAGCCAACAGTTAGTTATAATGGCAGTGGTACAAGTGTTGCGGAAATGGAATGGTTTTCAGGGCTTTTTGATCAAAATCAATGGAATAATCACTTGGGAGTTTTAAAAAATCAGACATGTAAAAGGAATATGGAATTTTATATTGGGAAGCTTAAAAATGGAAGTAGTTGGGCTGCAAAAAGTAAGTAGATTCACTTATAGTTTAGGCAAATAGTTACTTCCGTTTTCCGGTCTTCGTGAAAGCCAAAATAATTAATTGGCAATTACAGATTTTACAGGAAACATTTTCGATATTTGCCCAATCATTTTTTTTTTAATGACCATCACTAAAATTGAGTCATACTATATACTTTTCTGTTTGCTAATTAACACCGGACTTTATTTTAAAAAAATATTGCACAAATAAAAAGAGAAATGATTAAATGATGCATTTTATATGCGTTCGGTACCATATAGGTAATAAATACCAAATACATACTTACCGGCCATTTCTATTACATAATTGTCTGGTACATACTGGTTTACTTTTGTTCTACTGCAATTATGTGATGCAGAAACGAAAGTAAGCCGAACAGGATTTTAAAGACACACATGCAGAAGAAGAAAATTCTATTAGATAATATTCGTATAAGGCATTTTACTTGTAGTGTATGACGCTTCTGGTAGATATAATGGACTTTTTTTCATGGGCAATGATTTTTGGTTGGGCTCAAAAGTACTATGTCAAGAATTGCAGAATAATGAAGCCAACATTGAAGTCCCTCCATTTGTTTTGTCTTATTTTGTTGCCAAAATTCGTTTGAGCCTTAGTCCTAAATTTACAACACCAGTAGTAAGTAACTAATTTTATTTGTTTTAATAAAATATACTGGAGTTTTTTTTTATTTTAGAATCGTTTAATTCATTTGGGACTTTGCTTACCTAACGCATGCAGTAACGAAGAAATAAGAAAATTACTCTCTAAAGAAGCTCGAAATAAAGCGATTCAAATGGAAATAATTGACGTAAGAACAGTGCCAGGGAATTATTGCCTTTTTAAAGATTTAAAGTTTCAAATTGTTGGGTAAGGATTACATGTAATTATTCAGATTCATTGCGGCAATTAATTCGAGCCGAATGCGTTTATTACGAAAACCAATATTTTGCCTAGATAATAATTATTGCATTTACGTTTGCTTTTAAGTGCGTTTTACAAGGTTGGCAAAACAGTAGAAACAGACATTTTTACACTACGAAATTGGTTATTTATAATTAATATGCAGATTGGATTTTTATATTGCCTAATGTTCATTTGTAATAGATAATTTTTTTTTTTACTAATTATTCTACAGACCTTCAAGAAATAAAACTTTTGGCTGACAATGCACTTTCGGATCACCAGCTGACTTTTCTTTCTTTAATTTTTTAGTATGTCCTTATTAGAGTAATTTCTAGCTAAGAGCTAACTTTCTTGAATAGTGTGCCTACTATCGACATTTTCCGAAAATCTGGCAAAGTTCCTTTGTTCAAACATTCTTCCATGATACTTAATGTTGACATGTGCGAACGTTTCTCGATTTTTATACACATTTTTTTCACATTATTGTAGGTACTATATTATTACCTAATTCTTTGTCTCCCCTCACCCATTTACATCTCTAAGCTTGATGTATATTGTTTCCAATGAATTAATAATATTTCATTGTTATTATTCATTTTAAAAAAATTCAAGAATTTGAATTGAAAGAGAAACATTTTCTTGCTAATATTTCCTTATTATTACGCATTTTATAACTTTCAATTTTTGTCCATTCCAGGCACTAGACTCTCTAAAATGATTCTATTCTGAGGTTTTTAAATCGTTCTGAAGCCTCTCAAAATGCTGCTGAAAAGTGACTTTGGACGTTCTAAATGGCTTATTGAAGTTCCACAGTGTTCAAACCTGGCTTGAAGAGTTCTGGAGCATTCTAGAAGCTTTTCAGTAATTTTCAAATTGTTCTGCAAATTTTTAAGTATTTTAGAGTGTTATTGAAGCTCCGAAGTGTTCTAAATTGAATCCTAATTGTTCTAAAATAACTCTGAAGTTTCTCAATTGTTCCAAAATGCTCCTGAACATTTTGATTTAAATTTGAACTCTTTTGAATCCTAAGATTCTGGCGTTTTTCAAAACATATCTGGAGTTTCTAGACTGTATGAGTGTTTTGGAGCGTTCTAAAATGGGTTTCAAGCTTCTGAATTGTTCTAAAATGCTTTTGGAAATTGTGAATTGGTTTTTAAGTGTTTGGGAGCATTCCAAATTGGTTCTGAAGTTTCCAAATTGTTCTGAAGCGATACTGGAAAATCTGAATTAAATTTAAGTGTTTTGAACTTTCCACAAAAGGTTTAATAATTGTGTTCTGTAGGATTTTAAATGGTTTGCAGTAGATTTTTAATTGGATGAATAACGAATTCTGTGGGATTTTTTTTGTAAACATCTCAAAAGCGTCCCTGAAATGTCCGCAAACGACATTCAAGACGTCTTGCTTACGTGTTATTCAGGCGTCTTAAAGACATCTTGAAGACGTCGTATGTTACAAAATTTAACAACTTTCAGACGTCTTGTCAAAAGACGTGTTTAGGACTAGGCATTCTAAAGGCGTCTTCAACGAAATGTCTTAAAGACATCTTTGAGTCTCTTTACAATACGTAAACCATTATTCACTTTTAGGCCTGGTTGTACCAAATACATAGATGTCTTTAAAAATTTACATCATCTTTTGGACGCCTTCAAAACAACGTCTTCTATATGTCTTTTTTTGGTCTTAAGTTCAGACGTAATGCAGACCTGAAAAAGACGTCTTTAAAAGACTGTGTGTGCTGGGTGGGTACCTACCTAATAGGGCCTACAAGCGTAGATGTGTAGCATACGCGCAAATTAGGTACTCTATTATTTACATAGGTTGGATGGTAAATTGCGAGCGGTCGTATTTTATGGTAATTATTTCCTTGGGCAGCTACTGTAAAATAAAATGGTGATGGGCGGGTCTATTTGCAAGTGAGAGCAACAACTGTGGTACGGTTTTCCATTAATAAATATGCTTTATTCGAAAAAATAATTCATTAACATATTTGCGAAGTCCATTTGTCAATTCACTTATTTCATAGACATTTTATTTATTGATAAAGTCAAATAAACATGTCACTAGAGTACTTACATTCCGTCTTTAAATCACTAAACTATTCTAAAATAATTCTTCTGATTATTTGGTGCTCGCACATAATGTTGAACGAATAAATGTTCTTTCTTCATGACTCCTTTGCTTTTTTTTTTCAAAAGATCCGCTTTAGCGCGTTTTCCCGAGGCAACAAAATAAAAGAAACTGACTCATTAATCTTACTCAAGAGTCAAGACTCTAAGCTGAACTGATCTGAAGACTGAACTGCTCTGTGAACTTCTGAAACCGCTGTTTTTATATTCTTGGATCCTCCCAAAAATTTGGGGTCATGTCCATTCATTAACCTGGCGTTCCTCTTTTCTAAGAAATATAATTATTTGTTTAAAACCAAATATTTCGCAATTTCCTGGACTATCGGGGTCAACAGTTATGGTATAAGAATGTGAGGACAAATAACTCTAACGATGCTGAACTCGTGTCGGCCGTAAATAATGTCTCTACTATAATTCTGTCACTTTGGGACTCAATTTAATTATTTTTGCCTTGATTTTAATATTTTTATGGATTTGATTTATGAGTTCCATGTGGTGACTAACTATTAAAATTTGAACATATTTTAGATATTTCAACTAATTTGTGTCAATGCTGAATTAAGAAAATTATAACTTTTCTTCAATATTGAATATTGGAGATTTAATTTACATTAGATTATTTGATTCAATTTACATTATTTGACTACATTTAAAATTGTATTGTAAATCCTTGTAAATTATGGGCCATTACATGCCTCCCCCCTTTAAAACCGAAATTATATTGAATACGATAATTTTGGTCAAATCAGATTTAATGCCCATTTAAAATATTGAATTTCACACTCAAAATTAGGTTCCTCGTGAAAATATGGTGCGGTCGATTCGGTGAACCTTCTGTGATTTATGGTTTACTTTCTCAATTTTAAAAGTTGTCAATATTATTATCCGAGTATTTATCAGTTCGTTCAAATTAATTATGCGCAAGCTTTCCCTACCCTAAATCAACCTAAATTTCACATTTCTTAAAAATATATGTTATATTTTTATTTTACAAAAAGTTAAAAGCGATACGAAATAAAACTTTTCTTGTGTAATTTCGCAACTTCATGCACATTAATAACGAATAATTATGAAAAATTGATCTTCTTCTTGCGCCCTTATTTCATCATTGACTTTATTTTGGTCAACATTTTCTCCATTCTCATCTCTTATCATTTCCCTATGGATTAGTGGAAATTCTATAATGTCTTCTTCGTGATCTGGTGTAGGATTTATAATCCTATCCTCCAACCCTTTACATGGTTTGAGTCATTCAGCATGTAAAATTTGTTCTCTCCTCCCGTGGAATTGCTTTATTTTAAAAGTAACCGGTCCTAACTTTTCTGTAACTCGACTTGGTCCTGACCACTTACAACGGAATTTTGTTGCTAAATTCCTCCCTGGTAAAACTGAATTTCTCACATAAACTAAATCCCCGACTTGGAATTCTTTCCTGGTCCGTTTTATATTGTGCCTCAAGCATCTTTTCTTTATAACCTCTTGTCGATGGTACGCTACTCTTCATGATTGGCTGCATATCATCCGTAATAATTCTATGTACGACCACTGTTGTACAACTTTGTTTGTCTTCTGGTGCTTTACACACGTAATACGTCATTGAACTCAAGAATAAGCTGCTTAAGTTTTTGTTCTTCACTAGATTTGGGAGTTTCTAAATTTAACTTCTCCAAAATTTCTTTGACTCCCTTTTGGTCAATACTCCTTATTTGCAGGGTTTCTTTTTCCTTCTTGGCATGCTCGATTTACGCTTCGTATGCTTGCGATTACAGATCCACTCTTTAGAGTTAATTCTTTCTCTGTTATATTCAATAACCTCACTGTCCTTCTTACACAAAACACGTGCCACTAGCAATCCCGACAAAGCTTCTTCACATTGTTCGATAACTATGTGCTGAGCCTTAACCCTGCGTAGAGTTGCTTGACACACTACTTGACTCATCGGCGGTAATATCACCTCCTCTTTCAGAGTTACCAGAAAACCATCTTGGTTTCTGAATTCCATGTCCTTTACTTGAACTTCATTGGAATTTCTTTCTAATGGACCCTCAAAATTCCTCCGGAATTTCCCTGGAAGTTCACTGTCCTTCCACTCCAAAACTGGTGCTATTGGCAAGCCTGTTAAAACTTCATCACATAGTTTGATGTGTTGAGCCTTGAAGTTTCGCGTAGGGTTCCATCGCACACCTTCCTTCAACAAAATCTCGTCCTTTACTGGACCCTCATTAGAATTTTTCTTTAATGGAAAACCTTCATTTAACAAAATCTCGTCCTTCACTGGTCCACTAATAACTTTTACCTGTCAAAGTGGAATAGCTGCATGGATTTCACTGGAACCGGCCAGTTTCCTCGATGATGTCATAACTTTCTCTTGGGTTTCTCCATGCTGCAAGTTAGATTTGGTTTCACAGCCATTGCATATCGATGTTAGACCAATAAAGCACTTCACCATTCAAATTCTATACCCTAACTCTAGATACCCTAACCAACACTTTTCTAATACACAAAAAACAATTATAAAATAAGTAATTCTAAAATGATGCTAACTGTATGTGCTTTAAAGCCACCTCCTTACTATCTCTGAGCTTGTAATAAAATGTTACACTCAAAACCCTTGTACTTGAATAATAACTCTTTTATAGAGCCCCACTACATTAGGTTACAATATTTTTAACCATAACTCCTTTTCACGTCAAAACATTACAATTATTAAAACGTCGAATTCTATAGGCGTAAACCCCTGAATTCGCTCATTGCCAAATTTGTACAAAGCTTTTCTCAAAATCGTAAACTCATCAGCCAGAGTGACTATTCATGTATATAACAATACTATCTCAAAT